AACTTCCGGTCTGATGACGTAATCAATTTTTTTTCGTGCACAGGTCAAGGTCAACCCACCCACAGACTAACATCATAAAAAGCAAGTTCATATCTTTTTCCAAAATTCAATTTGCAGTCTCTCACGGTTGATTTTATTTTGAATTTCAAAGATTAAATTTATTATTTTTTGAAGTGACGTCACGTGACCCATGATGACGTCATGATGACGTAATTGCAAAAAAATACATCTTCAGTGGGCTGTGTTTTCATGTATTGACAATTGAAGTTCATATCACTTTTCATGTTGACAAACAGTTCTGGAAAAGAATTTTGCTGAGAAGACCTAAAAAAAAACAATAATAGTAAACTCTTACAATAACAATAGGTGTTGGGCTCAGGCCCCACACCTAAAAAAAGGCGCGTCCCCGCACCACTTTGGCGGCAAGCTCCATACCAGAAATCAGAGACTTTTTTTGTTTGCCCTTAACGTTTCATGTAATTTATTTTTGTTAGAGTTTTAATGCTCACATTTCTATCAATTATGCACAGCATATAACCTTTTTGTGCATATAGTGTGGCTGTCCACACATGCCAGTACTGCACAAAAGAGACCACATTGGCCTTATTTTTTAATACAAAGCTACCCATGTAAATGTACGTACATGAAGTTTGAGCTTTCCTTCATTTTCAGGATGTTCCAGAAATTTATAACCTAATCATGGGTTTTGGTGAGGAATAAGCTGGCATCAGTTTGCTATTGAACAGGACATGTACATGTACTGGTACATATAGACATGTATGCATACATGAAGCCTGGTTGCCCCCCCCCCTCCCCATTACAGCAAGTTGAAATGAGGTGAGTAAACACTCTGGCAGACATAGGTTATTAAATCCAGAATCTCTCCGGCTGAATAAATCAGTGCAGGGCCTCAGGTTTAATTCAAAACTGGAGCCACTCAAGGCCGGAAATGGCAAAGAATTGCTTTGAGAGGGTGAATTGATGGCTTTGAGTAATATTGGAAGTTTAGAGCCTTGGCTTGGCTGTCATCAATAGCTGGAAGTACATGGGAATATAACAAAAAAATCAATAGAGATTGAATACTTGGTAAATCTTCAAAGTGTTTTCAAGATGATTATTTAATTGCATGCATTTTTGTGTTCCGTGAAAAAAAAATCATCTATAAATGGCATTGAATATCTATTTAAAATTTTAATTAAACCCGCTTTCTTATTAGTATTACATTGTATCTGGCAACTACATGTTTCTGGATCAAGAAAAATCCAATTAGTAGAATAATTGATTCTCCTTGTTTCTTCTGTTGTCTAAGAGACCTTGGCCAAACAAAGCGTTTGACATGCTCAAACTGCACTCTCAAGCTTCAAAAAATCTATCATCATATTCAATAGACTCTCATACGTTGTTTAATGTAAGGAATAAGGGAAATTCACATTTACAATCCCACATACTACCGGTAGTTCACGTTTGTTGAGTTACAAATGCAGAGTGGTCGAGTAGCTAACTACATGTACATGTATGTATTTCATTAAACACTGCCCTGTTAAGTTATGAATATTTTATGTCGTATCACAGAACAAGGATAACAAAATTTAACCTTTCCAGTGCAACAAATTATTTTGTTTAAAAACAATGCATATATTAGGGTATCATAAATTTCAGTATACATTTTATGTACACGTACAAGTTATTTATGGTGTGATGACGTCAGCAGTCACAAAAGGGAAAGTGAATACTGATTTAGTTCGCAGAGAATACATGTTCATATGAAGTTAACCCTAACCGCCCTTTGCCAATGAGGAAGATTCTGGAGGATTGAGGTTACATGGCAAAAGTGCGTAACTGATTTCGTAGGATGCACTTTGTCAAGGTCTTGGGCCCGACTTTGTGTTGTCTTTGCTCAGCCGTGCATAAATATAGGCCCGAATCATGCTTGAAATCCTCCGTACTGCTCCAGGGTGTCACTTGCCAGGCATAAATATACAGTTAACTCCGGCTAAACCGTTGCAGTTCTACCTGATGCAAGATTTGACCTTAGCTGACCTCAAGAAGAAGCATGCACTCAAGGATGTGATGAAGCAAGCCTACGACAATCACAAGAAACCTGTCTTCAGAAACGGCAAGCTTTTCATCGACGGGAAATAGTACAGTGGCTGACTGGCCTATGAATGAGACTGTATCACAATGTATAACATGCTGACAGTATGGTTGTCCTGCGATATTTCACCCAGTTCAGCACTTCATTAGAAATTTATTGTCGTCGTTTGCTCATATGTCTTCTATAGACCGCTTGCAGACGCGATCGATAATTGACGCGCGAAGGTGCACGACGCCATGTTATGGGACAAAATGTGCATGGATAGATATACGCCTGTCCCACAACATGGCGTCGCGCGCCTTCGCGCGTCGGTTATCGAACGCATCTGCAAACAGTCTATTCTCCATTCTTTGTTTGTATTTTTGTTGTTCCATTCTAGTGGTTCGTCTTTCAAGTTTGTATTGTATCCCTGATCTCCCGTGGATATTGTTTTAGGACATTCCGATAATTACCCGCATCATGGTAATTTACAAAAGAAAGCTATCCGTTAATTTCCATTATATAACACCCAAGTAGATCCTTGTCATTTGATTGGAGGATTATAGGTCACGTAGCATTCATTAATTGAACCATCGCACGGCCTGCGTCATAACGGTGCATTTTTTGTTCCATTCACCGTGCATTTTCGTCCCATCCCTTTAGATCTATTGCACGCTGCGCGCACGCTATAGCGCTAAGACGCGCAGCGGCCCAGCGCTATACGATCTTTGCACAATTTAGACCATGCCTTTGAAGTTGATGCAGTTGCCTTGAGCATTGTTTTTTAGAACTTGCTCAGTTAATTTTCATTGTTGTCAATGATTTGACTTTTAAACTTTTGTTAGCCTTGAACAAGCAAAAAAACACCAGTGGATATGATACAATTTTGTGAGTTTTTGGGGTTTTTTTAAGTTTTATCCTCCAATCAAATGACAAAGATCTACTTGGAAGTTATATAAAACAAATAATGTGGAGTGTCATGGCCTAGTGGTTAAGAGCACTGCACTCATGTTCTGGTGTTTCAGACGTAACAGTAGCGTGGGTTCGAGCCCGCCAGCGGACACTTGTGCCCTTAAGCAAGGCACTTAACCATTATTGCTTCATCCTTCGGATGTGACGTTAAGCCAGAGGTATAGGAGGTGTTGTATAACGCCTAACTCATTAAAAAGAACCCAGTAACGCTTATCACTAAGAGAAGGGGTTCGCCCGGTGTTTCTGGCAGGAAGGATGTGTATACATCATGTGCGAGTATACTCCAATGGAGGTTTCTGCACAGTATAGGAAGAGGGTGAATGTTTTGCATTTGTGCAATGGTGAGAATATTTTCATTCACTGAAAGATGGAATGTTCCATTCAACTCGGCTTCGCCTCGTTGAATGAAACATTCAATTTTTCAACTCATGAAAATATTCTCACCATTGCACTCATAAACATTCATTATTTGTATTTCATTTTCAAGCAAGCACCAACCCTTTATTCAAAAATTACAATCTCCTTCCTATTAATTATATCAATGTTTTTCAGCAACTGCTTTTATTTATAAGCATTCCTTTAATCAACTTCCCAACACTTTATTAATATGGTTCAACCAAATCATAATTTACACAGCTATAATACTAGGTCATCTTCTCTATAGCATATTTCCAAACTGTTCAGGACATCAGCCTTTAAACACAGCATTAGGTACTTTGGGCCACTTCACTGGAATGGATTACCTGCAAATTTAAGGAATAGTCAGAGCTTGTATACAGTTCGTCACCGACACCACGAAGTAACACCCATCTACATACCAGTAAAAACTAGCAATCGGAGAAAACGGCTACTAAAGTTGAACGCCTTCTAAAACAACAATTTGCGTCAAAACGACAGAGTATTTTCAGTTGTGGACACTTGATGAATTGAATTTATTAAATCTGCTGTTTTTCACCCGTTTGTGTATTAAATAAACAAGAAATAAGATAAAAAAGATGAGTGTTAGTTCGTGAAAACGAAAAGGCTGCGAAACTGTAAATTTTCGTTTTCACGAAGTAACACTCTTCAATGTATTCAACACGAGGAAAGTGCAACTTCAGGTCAGCGCGCGCGCTCTCATACAACTTATTACAAGAAGAGTGTTACTTCGTGAAAACGTTTTTGCTCACTTATGAGCAGAGTGCGCGCCATGCATTGCAATGGTAAATGGAACTTGAGTGTCACTTTGTGAAAACGAAAATTGTCACTTTTGCGCAAAAGTTGCCATGGATACTTAGCTTAATTATTAAAGTAAAGCTCTTGAAGCTTTGAACCTTCGTGCAATGGTAGGCCTTGATGAATAATGTTTAAAAATCCAAAACACTGAAAGTCGAAAAAAATATGGTTTAACACGGTAGAGTGTTACTTCGTGGTGTCGGTGACGAGTTATGGTTAGATCGACCACTAGAATTGTGTGTATTTGTTTTGTGTATATAGTACTGTTCCCTTATACAAGCTGTGCATTTTGGCTGTCCCTCCAATTCCTATTGATTGATGGAATTGGAAATAAATGTTGATGAAATGATGACATGTACATATGTATACTGGTACATAAGTATGTAAGGCTTCTTGTACAGTATGCATACATGAAGCCTGGTTGCCCCCCCCCCCCTCCCCATTACAGCAAGTTGAAATGAGGCGAGTAAACACTCTGGCAGACATACATGTACATGTAGGTTATTAAATCCAGAATCTCTCCGGCTGAATAAATCAGTGCAGGGCCTCAGGTTTAATTCAAAACTGGAGCCACTCAAGGCCGGAAATGGCAAAGAATTGCTTTGAGAGGGTGAATTGATATGGCTTCGAGTAATATTGGAAGTTTAGAGCCTTGGCTTGGCTGTCATCAATAGCTGGAAGTACATGGGAATATAACAAAAAAATCAATAGAGATTGAATACTTGGTAAATCTTCAAAGTGTTTTTCAAGATGATTATTTAATTGCATGCATTTTTGTGTTCCGTGAAAAAATTCATCTAGATAAATGGCATTGAAAATCTATTTCCAATGTTAATTAAACTCATTAGTATTACATTGTATCTGGCAACTACCGGTACATGTTTCTGGATCAAGTAAAATCCAATTAGTAGAATAATTGATTCTCATTGTTTCTGCTGTTTTCTAAGAGACCTTGGCAAATGTTTTGGGCTCATATACAGCGTAAACTAAGTTTACAATAATTTCATTTGATGCATACATGTATTTCTGTGAATTTTATGTTTATTCATAAACCATTACTGTAGGCTATGGGTACGCAGGCATTAGGGCTACAGTGTTTAAGTTTATTGTCCTTGTTTTCTGTCCCTCTATCTCTTCTCTCCTGTCATTCCTTCTCACATCCTTCAGTCTCGTCAGTCATGTCAGTCATGTCTAGTCATACTTTTCTTTTAACACTATTGGTTCCTTTTCAAATTTCAGTTTTTGTTTACTGTTTGATACATATTTGCTTTGTCATTGGACTTGTCTCATTTGTTGGCGGAATAAATAATAATAATAATAATAACAATAATAAAAATAATAATAATTTCTTCCTTTTACATATGTCAGAAACATACATGTACATTGTATACTACATGCATACATGAACACAATATATACAATGTATGTAGCTTTTAATTTTCCTGCTATTAAGCGTCAACAAAGTATCAACAAGTGTCCATAAACACAATAAACGTCATCAAAGCGTCAACAAGCTCAAAATGCACTCTTCAGGTTCAAAGAAACTATCATCATATTCAAAAGACGCTCATACCGGTACATTATTTTATGTTAAAGAAATAAGGGAACTTTACATTCACAATCCCACATAAAAAATAGTTCGCATCTGTTGAGTTATACATAGAGTGGTTGGGCAGACAACTACATGTATTTCATTAAACATTGCCGAGTTAAATTATGAATATTTTTATATGTTCCCCCCCCCCCCTCCCCCATTATAGTTCAAAGACCCAATTATTGTGGATGTCCACATTAAACATTAAAAAAGTTAAAAAGTTTCAATACACGCAATAAAAAAACAAATATTAGAAAAAAAAAGGAAAATAATTCAACAAAACATGAGAAAAATGCCAACCCAGTAAAACAAGTTTCGTTGCAAGTAAAAAGACGTGATATTACCCTGGAGAAAAAAAAACAGTTGAGAATTAGCACAAAAAAAAAACAAGCACGACAAGTTCTTTTCAGAACTAAACATCTACTGAGCAGCAGTTATCACCACATGGTGTAACTGCAAACCGAAATGATACAAAAATCCCTATTAAACAAACGATATACGCCTTGAAGCTATGCATGGCAGCTGGCATTAAAGTGGACAGAATCACGGGCAATGCCTTGTGGAAAGAAATCTCTTCCTGGAAGAAGTATGGTTCTGAAAAGAACCGGTTTTCAAGAAGAGATCTCCCTCCACACGGCACCATCCGAAACCCTTTTCACTTTTAAGCAAGAGATAAGAAAAAAAGTCAACCCCCCCCCCCCCACTTAAAAATACACAAGGAAATAAAAGGACCCAGTACAGTTACTGTGGTCGGCAGAGGTGGCATCTTAGGGAATTGATCCAGCTATTTAATGACATTTCAACGACGCCAGACCTCAGAGATTCCGGTAGCTCATCCCATTCACGAGCAAACACATTCACTGCAGACTTAAAAATACACAAGGAAATAAAAGGACCCAGTACAGTTACTGTGGTCGGCAGAGGTGGCATCTTAGGGAATTGATCCAGCTATTTAATGACATTTCAACGACGCCAGACCTCAGAGATTCCGGTAGCTCGTCCCATTCACGAGCAAACACATTCACTGCACAGCCGTGAAGTCTTTGTGTGCGAGCTCTAAGAGGACAAAACCGCACTGTTTCTGTGTGTCGACCGTTGACCACAATGCCGTGTCTAACAATGTTACAAGTAATGAGGCCATACAGTGCTTTCATAACATATGAGATTAAAAGGAACTTGCGTCGTGCCACAAGAGAGGACCAATTTAAAAGATTCAGTCGGTCAGTGTAGTTCATTTCCATTCTTCTCTGTTTTAGGATCATTCTTGTAGCGCGACGCTGAACACTTTCAATCTTATCAATGAGATTATTATTATGAATGTGCCACACTGGCTGACCATATTCTAAAATGGGTAAAACCAAGGCCTTGTAGAGTGCTAATTTGGCCTCCTGAGATATGTCCTTGGCAACACTAAATATGAAGCCCAACATTTTGTTGGCCTTAGAAACAACATAGTTCACGTGATCATTCCAAGTTAATTTACTGTTTAAAATAACACCCAGATATTTGTAATTTGCGACAACATCAAGAGGAGAATTATTAATATTATATGTAGGAACACCGGGATTTCTAGAACAAGTTATACGCATAACTTTCGTTTTCTTAATATTTAGATTCATCCTGTTGTCTACACACCACCTGTGGATTTGATTAAGATCCTCCTGTAAGTTAGTATGTTTCTACCCAATAGGCATCAGAACTACTACAAAGTCTGACTTAAATTTGCATTTTGGATCTCCAATGGCAAGTACTCCAAGATAAAGATGATAAAGGTTTTCATCTGACATTCTATTATTATAGTGCATACTGATCCCCTATGAGGAATTTGTTTTTTCCTCTCAAGTCCAGCAGTAGTTAAGTTGGTTTTTTTAACTAATGCTGAGCCATCAGAACAAACCTTTCATGTTCTGAGAGTATGCTAAAACTTAATGTATGCCACGATAGCACAGAATATAGGGTCCATGGGAAGGCCATACTATCAGAGACCATGATGTGGAGAGTGGGTTCCAGGGTTTATATTACCATTGTAAAGGACAGCTTAGTGTGAAGTGCCTACATGTAATGTAATTCAACTTTTGTTCCAAATAGGGTAAACTGGGGTAAAAACACCCATGGGGTAAAAACGCCCACTTGACTTGTTTCCACTGCTAGTAAAAAATTATAAGATGAATTACTAAATGAAATATTTCTAATAAGTACAATGTAAACAAGTCAGGTGTGTTTACAAACACAAATGCCCCGCAACCGTGACTGTTTCCATGACATAACACCACTCTAACATCAACTTACATGAACCTTGGTCACATGGAATGTTCATTGACAGCATTAGTGTCTTCTGTAGGTTTTATATGAATTAATCCCTAATCCCTATGATCTCAGAATAAATACAAGATTTCGATTGTTTTAGCCACTGTGACCTTGACCCTTGACCTTTTGGCCCCAAATGCAAAAGGCTTCTTAGGATTACCAAGGACAATCCACAAACCAAATTTGAAGTTCATATGTAAAGTATATCTCAAGTTATCACGCTGACAAAATTTCTTTTGTTTTAGCCACTGTGACCTTGACCCTTGACCTTTCGACCCCCAATGCGATAGGCTCCTTAGGATTGCCAAGGACAATCCACAAACCAAATTTGAAGTTCATATGTAAAGTATATCTCAAGTTATCACGCTGACAAAATTTCTATTGTTTCAGCCACTGTGACCTTGACCCTTGACCTTTCGGCCCCAAATGCAATAGGCTTCTTAGGATTACCAAGAACAACACACAAACCAAATTTGAAGTTCATATGTAAAGTATTTCTCAAGTTATCGCGCTGACAAAATTTCTTTTGTTTTAGCCACTGTGAACTTGACCCTTGACCTTTTGGTCCCAAATGCAATAGGCCTCTTAGGATTACCAAGAACAATCCACAAACCAAATTTGAAGTTCATATGTTAAGTATTTCTCAAGTTATCGCGCTGACAAGATTTCTATTGTTTTAGCCACTGTGAACTTGACCCTTGACCTTTTGGCCCCAAATGCAATAGGCTTCTTAGGATTACCAAGAACAATCCACAAACCAAATTTGAAGTTCATATGTTAAGTATTTCTCAAGTTATCGTGCTGACAAAATTTCTATTGTTTCAGCCACTGTGACCTTGACCCGTGACCTTTCAGCCCCAAATGCAAAAGGCTTCTTAGGATTACCAAGGACAATCCACAAACCAAATTTGAAGTTCATATGTTAAGTATTTCTCAAGTTATCGTGCTGACAAAATTTCTATTGTTTCAGCCACTGTGACCTTGACCTTTCGGCCCCAAATGCAAAAGGCTTCTTAGGATTACCAAGGACAATCCACAAACCAAATTTGAAGTTCATATGTTAAGTATTTCTCAAGTTATCGCGCTGACAAGATTTTTCCGGACACACACACCCACCCACCCACCCACACAGACTTGTTTCACATAAGTAGTGTGGACTTTCCTTTCTTTTCGTGTAGTTAAGGAACACCAGTGGAAAAACTCATTTTTCTCAAACTGTGAAAACTCTTTCAACCCAATTTTTTTTCTATGATTCCCTTTAGTGTTTCTCTTCATTCTGCTACAGATAAACCTAACCCAAAAATGCCTCTAAACCTGTTTTCCAGAAATGGGGAAACACTGTGTGGACGTGGGCAAGTCCACACAACGTCGGTGCTACCTACATTATGTGGACGTGTTTTGTTCGGAAGTCCACACTGCGTATGTAAGACAAGCTCACACACACACCCATACTTGTTTCACATGACTAGTGTGGACTTTCCATTGCTTTCGTGTAGTTAAGAAAAACCAGTGAAAAAACTCATTTTTCTCAAACTGTGAAAACTCTTTCAACCCAATTTTTTTTCTATGATTCCCTTTAGTGTTTCTCTTCATTCTGCTACAGATAAACCTAACCCAAAAATGCCTCTAAACCTGTTTTCCAGAAATGGGGAAACACTGTGTGGACGTGGGGTAAGTCCACACAACGTCGGTGCTACCTACATTATGTGGACGTCTTTTGTTCGGAAGTCCACACTGCGTATGTAAGACAAACTCACCCACACACACACACACACACACACCCACACACCCCCACCCACCCACCCACCCACCCACGGAAGGACAAGGCGGAAACAGTATGCCCCTTCGGCTTCGCCGCGGGGCATAATAAAAACTAATAATAAAAAGAATTAAATTCATTAATATATTTGAAGGGTACGTAGGTGCTGTTGAAAAAAAACTTGAAAAAAAAGTTTCAAAAAATGACCGTCGAAGGTTTAGCCTATATCGCTTAAAATTATTTTATAAAAAAAAGTATTTTATTTTTTTATTATTCTTTAGTTGATATATATGTTAAGAAGGGTTAATTACATAATCACAAACGATAACAATAATAAAATCTATTTTTATATTTGCTTAATAATGTTTTTTGAGTGGGCGTTTTTACCCCAGGCAAAATCAGGGGTCTCGGGGTAAAAACGCCCAGTACATTTCTTGACATTAAACTCTATTGCAGCCTCATTTATCATCAAAAACCTCAGTATTAGAACTTTCTACAGCCATATGTTTCTTGTATGAGTAAGTATTAGCTATTAGAGTCCTACCACATAAATATTGAACAGTGTATTGTGTGAAGTGGGGAGGTACATGCAGGCGGTATCACTAACTGACGTTACGTAGGGGCAAGGTATCTGGCATTTGGTAGGGAATGCCCGAGAAACCATGAGCTCATGGTATTTTCTCAAGAAAAAACAAAATAACACCTTTATGGTGATTTGAGTATACTTTTAATAACTAAAAATGACTAGAAATGGTTCTAAGACCCAACTAGACCGGTTTCTGCTCTCATGCTATACTAGCAGAGCTTCATCAGTAGTAAGCCAATATCGGTATTTTATATTCGGCTAAAGTCGTGTCAAATGTTACAGTGCATAGATACCGGTAAGTGCATGTAATATAATTTTGTGTCAACCTCGTGATGAGTCCAATTCCCGGTTAACGATAAACATTGATTTGACAAGTAAACCTTTCAGACTTTTGGCCTTTTTATAGGCAGGAATTGGTTCGCTGAGATTGCATAATTTCGGGTGTTCCGAAATTAAATGCCAGTCTTTCAGCAATGCTTTTTTAGCTGCTGGGTTTTGATGTGTGGTGTGTAGATTATCTTCAAGACTAGAGGTGGTTCTTTTGGTCGTGTTTCATTCATGATTGCTCACAGTTTTCAAATTTTACGTCTTTTATGACTGGCAATTTCCTCTTTCTTGTGTTGAGACTAGTGTGTAGTGATTCAAAATACTGTCATATTACTCCGCTCCTCCAGAATTTAGACTGGCTGCAAGTTAAATATCGCATCTGGTTTAAGATTCTCTTGTTTGTTTTTAAACCTGTCCATAGAATGTCACCCACTTACATTTGTAATCTTGTTCAGTTGAGTGGGTCCTCATATTCTCTTAGATCATCTTGCCAGCTGAAGTTACAGGTTCCCCCATGTACTTCTAATAAACTCAGGGAGAGAGCATTTATGGTAGCTGTCCTCAGCTTTGGAACCAGTTACCTAGTCACATTAGATGCCAAGAAACACAGGGGACTTTTAAACGCGAGGTGAAAACCTTTTTTTATTTCAGAAGGCTTTTTATGTGTAATTGTGCATGTGGTGATTTTTAATGGTGAAATTTAGATGTTAGCCTGTAAATTTTGATTGTATAATGATTTACTCAATAATGGTATAGTATTGTAGTTTTGATTAAAAATAGTACGGTTTTATCCTTCAAGTAATTTTATTGTAATGCGCATGAATATGTTTATGCATTTTACGCAATATAAATGCCATTATTATTTTTATTATTATTAATTGTAATTGTTCTTTATTACAGTGGGGGTCTCCACTCGACAAGCTTATGCTTTTTGGAGACCTCCATCCATCCATACACAATAATTCAAATGTTAAATAATATTATACACGTATGTACATGTATGTGTTGGGAAAAATTAAAGATTTGATTGATTGATTGATTGATTGATTGATAGAATTTTTTGGAGGGGCCCTTAAGCGGGCCCCAAACCCCACGCCTATAGCTCAGAATAGCTTATTCAATGACTCCAACCTCGAAAATGATGTTTAAATGATTATCTTTTGCTAACAAAAAAAGGTTAAAGCGGTTAGAAATTCCCTTAGATCACACCACATGCAGAGCTAAAACAATCAGATTTGCTGTTAAGCACTTGTCTTTAGATTTTCAGCACTTTCGTTGCTTCAAATGAAACAATTGCACAAATTAATAAATGATCTTCTCTACCTTTAAACACCCCTATCGCAAAATCTTTCCCATGGGACCATTGGTACGTACAGCAAAACTTCTATCTCGTGAAGTTTACAGGCAATAGGTGTCAATTTGATTTGCTTGGTGGAAAGTAACCTGTACAGTTAAAAAATATCTCAGTACAATTAGTAGAGTCAATCCTCAATGGTTTAAAATTCCCATCAAAAGTTTCTTACCTTTTTTGCTCCAACCTTAAGAGCTTTGGTTCGGATCTCCTCAAAATCATCATCTTGCCCGACATCAGCCTGAAACAACAAAGGACGGAGGAAAGTGTTCGGATGGAAACAAGTTTTCTAATTTTTTTAACAACAAAAACACACTGATAAATAAATCCTTAAAATTATGCTGAATAATAATGTCTTCGAAGAATGTGCAGGTCTATTTTGTGATCTAAAACACTGTAAAATGAGGGTGTTATGTACGTGTTTATTATGCAGAAGCAGAGCTGTCAACTCAAAACCTTGTAATTTGGCTTTTTCGACATCAGCAGAAAAGCATTGTTTTTGTATGATTTTCTTTTTCTCTTCTTCTTCTTCTTCTTGGTCCTCTATCCCAATTCCCATAGACTTTGTACATGCTTCATTTTTGGAGTCACTTTTCACAATAAACAACCTTTAATCTTTATAAACTTGGCACAGACTAAGACCCCATAGATAAGTCGTGCAAGGACGAGTGACGTCATGATGACGCCATCAAGTGACATGTGAAAGTCATCTGAAAGGTTGATTTTTCAAGGGCCAATATCTAGAGAACTACATTGTACAAGGCCGATTTGGGTTGAAATTTTGTACGTACACATGTGTTATACATGTAGATGAAAATTGAGGTTATGTCATGATGACGTCATCATTTGATTTTATTTATTGATTTTTCCATATTTTCATCTCATCTGCATATCTCATGAACAAAACATGCTACATTCAAAATTCTTTTTGTATTGTTTGTTAGGTCATAGATATATATGCACAAAATTTCAAAAAAAGTGTGACTTCATCATGACGATATCAAAAATGTGATTTTTTTAAAAACACATACAAAGGAACGTTCGATCGTTATGAAACTTGGTTGGTAGGTAGATATTGATAATAGTATAATTGATAATAGATAATTGATTAAAATCTAAAATGACTTCATAATGACGTTGACAGATACCGGGGTATTTTATTAATTTATAAAATTTTAATTTTTTTTTCTAAATGCACAATTTGACATGAAATTTGTAATCAGATTGACTTAAACTGGGCACAGACTAAGACCTTCACATGATCATGACATCAAAATTCTTTTTGTATTAGGTTCAGTAGGCCACAAATATACAATGTATACCACACAATTTCGAAAAATGTGTGACATCATTATGACGTCATAAAAAAAATTTGTTTGAAACACATATAAGGGAATGGTCAATCGTTATGAAACTTGATGGGTAGGTAGGTTTTGATAATAGTATTCAAAATCTGAACTCATGATGACGTCATCAACTGATTTTTTATCAATTTATCAATTTTTTTTTAATTGCAAAATTTGACATGAAATGCCATTACCTGTACCGGTGGATTGACTTCGAACTAGGCACAGACCAAGACCCTAAGCTAATATTGTTCCTGACTAATTAAGTCATCATTTGTCATGTGACGTCATCTTACAGGTGCTTAATTTAAATTTTTATTTTCAGAGTTGTAGATCGCCACTCCGTATACTACTTGTGTAAACACGACTTGGAACCAGTGTGTTTGTCATACTTCCTTTTTCAAGATGGCACCAAAACAGTGTCATGTGAATCAGAGGCCAAACAAAAAAAATGCTGCCTTTTTCAGATGTCTAATTTTCATGAAATTTCATGTTGAAATTTTGATACGCAAACATGTGCAAATGAATCTGGAAATTTCACACAAAAAAAACATCTCAAAAAGGCAGCACTTTCTGATTAGGCCCAAAAAAAGAATAGTTCTGCTTCCGGTTACCCGACCGACCCTATTTTTAGGCTGCGACCCTAAAAAATGTATCGGCAATTCCAAAAAAAAAATATATAAAATTGATTGAATAAATCAAAATAAAAACCTTATGTCTTGTCTGTCTTCACAAAATACCTCTCAACAACCCTTTTGCATCAAAAAATGCTTGTATTTATTGTTTTCTCACTTACATTCGCTATTTTTTCAAAAGAAACCTCCGTTATTTTTACAAATTCGCTTCGCGATTCAACTACTTCGCAATTCGATGTCTATAATCACATGCGTAATAAGCACAATGCGGCGACGACTGGTTCCCGCCGCGCCGCGCAGGGCCCAATGATGAAAATGCAGTAACTAGTCTGTGCACAGCTATGGGATCGATAGCGCTAGCATGGCTATGCAGGCGCAGGCACGTGCTCTGTCAACTGGTCGGATTTGACGTCGTAAAAATGCCAAGAAAGACATCGTAAAAATGACAAGAAAACACCGATGGAGAAAGAACATTTTTACAAGTTAATTCACAAATTTGATCTAGCTTGTCTGTGTATGTATTTTCCGTGTTCAAGAGTTCATTTTGAGATCGCACTACTCGCATTTGGAGTGATACAATGCAGCGTGTTTCCTGGAATTTTCGACCCGTTGGCCGCGGGCCACACATGTACATGTACAGTGCATCACACACTTCGGAGTTTTGGCCAGCTCCCCTTCTTGACTAGCGTTGTGCATACGGGTGCGAACGACCTGAATTTTCCACAATTTTTTTTTTAATTATCGAACGTAAATATATTGACAATAATTAAGGTAGGTTTTATTCACTTTTTGTGGCCCTTTTGTGTATAGCTTTTGTGGTACAATGGAAATAGTTCAGGCTAAAACTTCATATAATTGAATACCCCATTCAATCTGCATAAAAAAAATTTGCAAAAAAAATATATATTCCGACCGACCGACCCTATTTTTGAAAGGCATGTAATCGGAAGCAGAACTATTCTTTTTTTTGGCCTTAGCCTATAAAGAGGGTGAGTATGCTTCTAAAGCAAAAATAAACTACAAACTAAGCCTAAATGTGAAAATCAAAATTTGACAAAGTTCTACATGTTTTTGTACGTGGTGGAAGTGTGGCCTTTATTTACGGAGGTAGTCCAGTAAATTGGCCACATTTATTGGGCTAGGCCGTAGTAGGGCCCGGCATGCACCTACAGTGTAAAAAGACAGTGTACTTTTTATTGTGAGTGATAAAAAGCTAATTAAAAAATTAATTTATTTTATTTTAATGGGAATTCCTATGATATCAAACATTTTGATAGGTTTGGAAAATGTACACATGTATGGACAATGGTAGAGTTATAAAACATGTCAAAACTAATGTGGATACAACACATATTTTGGGAGATGATGATTAACCATGTTAACAGCCACATATAGTAGTGATTTATGTAATGTTTCTCCAAGCTGATACAAAATAGCTATTCTAGTTCGAGTTGGAAAATCAGCATGTGGATTTAAAACAATATTACTAAACTTTTCTAGTGACCAAATGAGAATGACCATTAATTTACATATTGTATGTGACAAGAATTTTAACTTGTAGTTTACTTGTAAGTCAGTCCCTTGTCTTATTAAAAAAAAAATTCATCATAAGTTGACTAGGGCCCTACTTTAATTAAATTTTCTTGCACTTGCTTGCTTATTACGTGTAAAATTTGGGTTAGGGATTATGGGTTGTACAGTACATGTAGGTACATGTAGCAAATTGACTTACTGTGTAAGCTATGACATCATACCCTTGCTCAATAAGCCACAATAAGATGCAGGAGGTATCCAGCCCACCACTGTAAGCCAGAACAACAATTTGGGGCTCTCCATCTTTGTTGGGCTTCTTGCAAGGAGGTTCAGCCATTCTGCTCCCTATATGGTGATTCTGAAAGTCAAATTTGAAGAGAGAAACAAAAAGAACCAACTTTTACCTGCATGTTAACACACCGTGGAGTGTTTCAGCTGAAAAGTTCAACCAAACTAAAAATCCGCTGAACATGACACCAAACTGAACCACATTCTATTGTTCATTTCAAATGCGTAAAATATTGCAATTTACATGTATCGGTATTACCCTTGTAGGAAAGTGATTTAAGTGTGTCATGGCTGAGTCATTTTCTGGTCTGGCACGTGATTGAGTCCCATACATGTAAATGACTTGACAATAAATGAATAATATTTTAAGTTGGAGTGCCATAGCCTTGTAGGTCTGGAGCACTGAACTCATGGTCTGCAGGTAATTCTTGAGGTTGTGGATTGAGTTCAGCCTGGGGTTATGGTGCATGTGCCCTTGGGCAAGGCACTTTGTCACTCACTGCTTCTCCCACCCAGTAAATTGGGTACCTGTGATGGCAGGGATGGTTATTAGATGTTGGGCCTTTAGCCCAACACCTACATGTATTGTTATTGTAAGAATTTACTGTTTTTGTATGCTTTGACAGACACTTTGACACTAGTTAATATATTCATACATGGAAATACATATTATTTTCACTCTTTTGTGGGCGTGGCCTAAATATTTAAATCAGGGTGTGAATAATTGCATTCTGAATGAAACGAGGAAAATGTATGATTTTGCTGGCCAAACACAGAGTCAGCATTATTAAATATTGATTATTGTGCATTGTTACTTTCATTTTTAATCATTTTATATAAGTCAACAAAATAAACTGGAGTTATGTTTTGAAATAGGCACGTATTTTGGTAAGGCCAAAAAAAAGAACAGTTCTGCTTCCGATTACATGCCTTTCAAAAATAGGGTCGGTCGGTCGGAATTTTTTTTTTTTTTGCAAATTTTTTTTTATGCAGATTGAATGGGGTATTCAATTATATACGAAGTTTTAGCCTGAACTATTTCCATTGCACCACAAAAGCTATACACAAAATGGCCACAAAAAGTGAATAAAACCTACCTTAATTATTGTCAATATATTTACGTTCGATAATTCGTAAAAAAAATTGTGGAAAATTCAGGTCGTTCGCACCATATGCACAACGCTAGTCAAGAAGGGGAGCTGGCCAAAACTCCGAAGTGTTATGCACTGTACATGTACATGTGTGGCCCGTGGCCAACGGGTCGAAAATTCCAGGAAACACGCTGCATTGTATCACTGCAAATATGAGTAGTGCGATCTCAAAATGAACTCTTGAACACGGAAAATACATACACAGACAAGCTAGATCAAATCTGTGAATTAACTTGCAAAAATGTTCTCTCTCCATCGGTGTTTTCTTGTCATTTTTACGATGTCTTTCTTGGCATTTTTACGACGTCGAATCCGACCAGTTGACAGAGCACGTGCCTGCGCCTGCATAGCCATATGCTAGCGCTATCGATCGCATAGCCGTGCACAGACTAGTTACCGCATTTTCATCATTGGGCCCTGCGCGGCGCGGCGGGAACTAGTCGTCGCCGCATTGCGCTTATTACGCACGTGATTATAGACATCGAATTGCGAAGTAGTTGAATCGCGAAGCGAATTTGTAAAAATAACGGAGGTTTCTTTTGAAAAACTTGCGAATGTAAGTAAGAAAACAATAAATACAAGCATTTTTTGATGCAAAAGGGTTGTTGAGAGGTATTTTGTGAAGACAGACAAGACATAAGGTTTTAATTTTTATTTATTCAATCATTTTTTTTTTTTTTTTTTTGGAATTGCCGATAAAAATTTTAGGGTCGCAGCCTAAAAATAGGGTCAGTCGGGTAACCGGAAGCAGAACTATTCTTTTGTTTGGCCTAAATAACTGTGATATTATACTCTGGGGCCTGTGTGGGCCTACATGTACAGTGTTTATAATGTAAATAAAAACGTTAATGAAGGGCAAAACCCCAAATTTGATTTACATCACTCCTATGCAAATTCCATCGCTTCAATAGTTTTGGTGCAGTCCCTGCTGGCAGGGGCCACGGAACGGGGGGAAAACACTTGCCCCCCCCCCCCCCCCCTCCAGATTTGTTCCAGGCCATCAAAAATGCCCCTCCACCCCAAAAAATTGGTCTCTCTACAGAACTATAGTCAAATTCATGGGGGGACCCACAGAGGTTACTGGTGGGGGCGGAGGTCGTATAATGTGCCGTGTGCCGAAGGTCCAAGGGCGGATCCAAGAGGATGAGGGGCAATGGGCCCATGCCTTCCCCACAATAACGAACCCAATTGTACTTTTAGTGAATAATAAAATACAATAACGAATCCAATTGTATTTTTACTGATGTCACAAAAAGGCAGCCACTACGTACACCACCATCTTTTCCTAAAAACAAATTGGTTACAAGTGGTCAGAAATTGCCTCAGATCTCATCACAGTACAGAGCATCTAGAATCCATTTTATTCCGGGCCCTTAAGCGGGCCCTGAACCCAACGTGCCGAGATTTTGTGGACTCACTTATTGGGGGACCACATTTTCCTGCGAAAAAAAAGGAGTTTCAGATCGGCCATTGCGGAGGCCGAAGAGCTCTCACTTTCACACCGACTGAAGGTGCCCCATTTTCTGAGCAGTTGCCCCTTTTTGGTGTTGCCCCCCCCCCCTCCCCCAGTTTGGAAAGCATTCCACCGTCCCTGCCTGCTGGTACCGTACATCCGATTCCAACTAGACAAACCGTGTTTGTTTCTGCATTCAATAGGGGACGTTGAACATTATTGGGTTCAACAAATACAAAACAAATGGGATGTCTTCCTAAAAAGTAAAGGTAATAACAGAAGAGGGGCAATTTTGACGATTGCACGTAAATACACACTTTGGGCATCCCTGTAGAAAAAGGCAAACATGCCAACTTATCTTTATTTCACTTTTACATGAAAGTACTGATATGTTTCTCAAAGTTGCATGATGTTTTGAACTCACTGAAGTGATTTTGAAATTTCCGCCCCAGGTAAGTCACTGGCCCCCTTTACCGTGTTTTGTGTCATCTGCAAAAGTCAGTTTTGAACAGAACTCGTAAAAAATAGAGGTGTCCTAAAAGTAAGGATTACCAGTGTGGATCTATCCAGGGTTACTGTCTTTCTCATTTGTATTATCTTTATCAGTTTTTTGGGGCCTTTTGTCCTCGCGAGGGCATGCCCACAAAATGCATACCGTCATGTCGACCGTGTCCCTGTCACCAAAGTATGCCAAATCGGTGGAGCATTTGTACGGAGGGTACCAGAGTTCAACACTCCACTCAGTAGAGCTACTGCAGCCCTAATTATGGGTCGCACTAAAATGCGTCAATACAGCGTCAACACAGCGTCAACACATGACAGAACCGTCAACACATCCAAAACACATTCTGAATTAACAAAAATGGTATATAATTGTAAACAATAGAATAAAAGAGAATTTCCATTGGTTTGAGTTTCCATTTCGTTGTTAAAAATATAGTATTTTCACGCGAAAAAATGACCTTTCACTCGCACGGCCGTTGTCCGCCATCTTGACTTCGCACAAAGCTTGGACTACACCATTTCAAGTAGGGGTGTGTAGGTAATGACATTATCTTGTCATAAACAACAGAGGGATACCAGATCTGTGAGGACTGAGGATCGGAGTGGTGGATCATTATTTTGTGAATTGTGTTTATGTTTCATTTACTTTATTGAAATGGACATCTTTTGGTATTGGCCGGCCGCGCCCTCTCTGTTGGTTTATTGTACAACGCTATCACCCTTTAGCATAATGGTATGGTCCGCACTGCCACTGAGGCAACATGGCTGCCGATTTCGGAGCGGCACGGAGAGGCAACTTTCTTGAACTGAAAATCGCAATTTTCAGACGTTTAACCTATTAATTTTAAGCCTAAATCTTGTTTCTGACCATACTATATGGGCTACATATAGCCTTGGTGAATGCTCTCGTCGTTATTCGTCCCGTACGCGGTCAATCGTCGGCATATATCCTCAGGCGCTATGAACATGCATGTAAAAATACAGCGCGAACAGCGACCTCACACGGCCACTATTTTTATGCAAATCAGTTGGAGACGATGTCGAGCCTTAGTTCAATCGTCCATGTGAGGTTTTGGGGGTGGTGCTCATTATGTTAATAGCCTTAGCTGACCTTAAATGTTGTTTTCTTATTGGTCGATCGTTGCGTGGAAACTTGCATAGTGAAACGTGGCACCGTACATAATCCATACACGTACACATTGTGTGTCTCTGCACACGGCACCAATGCACAAAAACTGTGGTTCCTGTCACGTCCGCAAAAGCCGGAATAGCTGCAAATAATTTGATGACGTCCGGATTTACTAAGGTGTGATTGGACACTCCACATATTAGCCCCGCCTACCTTATCTGTATTCGCATACGAGGTCGTGCGCTGGAAATCTAGCGCAAAGTAAAGAAAAACATAAGCTTTGGCCGACGATTGAACCAAGGCTCGACATCGTCTCCAACTGATTTGCATAAAAATAGTGGCCGCGTGAGGTCGCTGTTCGCGCTGTATTTTTACATGCATGTGCATAGCGCGTGAGGGTATATGCCGACGATTGACCGCGTACGGGACGAATAACGACGAGAGCATTGACCAAGGCTAGGCTACATACTGCTTTTGTCACTTTTAATGCATTTTGGATGTGTTGACGCTGTGTTGACGCTTTGGAGTGTGTTGACGCTGTGTTGACGCTTATTAGTATGACCGCTAATTATAATGTGCCATATTTTGGCACATTTAAATTACACAATTCCAGGGGTTACGATCACGCAAGGCATGATGGGAAACAACATGGCGCAGCAAGATCGTACCCACCGGGCACGAGGTTGGGTAGATATCAACCTCGTCCCCAGTGCTTATTTTATTTCCAACACAGTTTCCAATAGTAAACCCTGGATAGGAAACTTTCTTCCTGTATCCTGATTCGATACCGCAATCGGCTAGTAATGGATTTTTATCGTGTACTTGGTGTTGTT